CACACACACACACACATGGTGCATAATGCTCTCACCTTGCACACGCGAGCTTCAAGTCCGTCATCACAGAATGAAGAAGCAGAAGCCAGCATAGACCAAGAACGTTGCTGTTCACCTCTGGGCCGGGCGGCTGGGGCGAGCTCAGCAGCTTGCTTCTCGCTTTCTTTCAGGCGCTCCTCAGCCCGTATTTTCGCAAGTTCCTCCTTCATCGCTTCCTCCTGCACCTCTTGCAATTTCCGAGCCATCTCCGCCCGCTCCTGTGCTTGCTGCAACTTAAGTGCTCGAGCATCCTTGCGCTTTTGCTCCTGTAGCTCCTTCGCCTTCTGCTCCTCGGCAGCCTTCTGCTGCTGCGCCAGGATTTCAGCATCCTTGCGTCGTTGCTCTTCGAGCTCCTTCGCCTTCTGCTCCTCGGCAGCTTTCTGCTGCTGAGCCAGGATTTCAGCATCCTTGCGCTTTTGCTCCTCTAGCTCCTTGGCCTTCTGCTCCTCGGCAGCCTTCTGCTGTTGAACCAGGATTTCAGCATCCTTGCGGCGTTGCTCCTCGAGTTCCTTCGCCTTCTGCTCCGCCAGTCGCTGAGCCAGGATTTCAGCATCCTTGCGTCGTTGCTCCTCCAGTTCCTTTGCCTTCTGTTCTTCGGCAGCCATGAGCTGCCGATCAAGGATTTCAGCATCCTTGCGCTTTTGCTCCTCCAGCTCTCTTGCTTTCTGCTCCTCCAGAGCTCGTGCTTTCTGCTTCTCGACAGCATCAAGCATCGCACGGCATTCGGCGGCCTTGCGTGTTTGGTCCTCAAGTTCGCGTGCTTGCCTTGCTTGGGCTAGCCGCTCCTTCTGGGCTTTTGCTACTCGGGAAGCCTCCTCTGCGGCACGTTCAGCAGCTTCGGCTGCTTTCAAAGCTGCCTTCACCTCTTCGTCGTCCTCATCCTCCAGGCAGACTTTGTCAAAGGCGTCCGACAGATCCCTGTCGAGAGAGTCGGCTGTAGCCTCCACAACATCACTCGACGATGGCATGCTCAGCAAGCTCTTTGAGCGGCCCTGCATCACTTGTGTGGTGGCAGTCGAACTCAATGAGTCGACACTACAGGATCGAAGGAGGCTCAGTGCCGGAGTTCCGTCCCACTCTTGAGTGTCGGCTCGTGTGGGGTCGCGTACAGTATCTTCCACCGTATCCTTGATCGAGGAAGGCTTCAGGATGCTGGGAGGAGGGCCCGGCGGGAGAACTGCAGTGGGCTTCGGGTGCACAGAGTCTGCAAAGGTAACAGTGCGCTGAGTGGCCGGGTCAGCGATTTTTTCACTACTCTGAGGGCTGGGGGCCTGCACCTTCGGAGAGGGTGTCACAGGTTCTGCAGGGGGTGGGGGTGGGCCTCCCGGGGCCTTGGCCACACCCGGTGATGTGGCTCCCGGTGCTTTCGCACCCGGCTCTTTCAAGGCTGGTGCTTTGACAGTCGGCGCACCCGGCTCTTTCAAGGCTGGTGCTTTCACAGCCGGTGCTTTTGCACCCCCAGCTTTCATCAGCACAGACCTGAGATCGATCGACATATCCGCCCTTTAAATCTCTTTGCACACGATTTACATCTCCGTGCACATATTCTCACACCTGTACTACATAACATGCTCACATGTGGGGATTGTAGATATAGCATTGAAAAACCTCTATATAGAGAACTACAACCACATGTAGACATGTACACATATACACACATACATATATACATAGGTACATTATAAATACATATATATATATATAAATGTGTGTGTGTGTGTCTGTACATGCATATACGACATACATATTTATGTATATAGCAGGTAGTTCTAACAGTACACATAATTCCAAGATTAAGGACCTCGATTATTTTATGTGTAGTAGGGAGCCTTCCACACTAAGCTCGAAAAGCTGCTTCCAAACCCTAGCCCCCATTCCTAATTGAATCCCTAAACTTAATCACCCCAACCCGAACCCCTAAACTCAAACTCCCTGATCTCGCAAAATTGTAGTTGGACAGGGGTCATTTGGCGGTTGGTTCGGGTTGCAACATATTAGTGACCTAGACTTGAATTCTGGGCTAGATACAACAAAGGTATGTTTGCGAATGAGCCACACCCGTTGCTTCACTAGCTCCTGCTGGGCCGGGGTCAACCCGAGGGCAGCGAGGCCAACGCCAGCATCGATCCCCGCAGCAGCTGTGACAGCATCCTCAATGTTCGGAGGGAAGATAGTCACAGGAACAGGGTTCCCAGTCCGATCTTTATCAAATAGAAGCTTAGGGGCAGCTTTTGCTTCGGCTTTAGCCGGCGGCGCGCCAGCTTTCTTGGTCATCCTGTGCTCTAGAGCTCTAGGCACAAACTGAAAACAAACAGACCTGTATCGAGCCACAACCATCGAGCAAGCAAATTGCAGAACAACAGCTCATCCCTGGATCATACACTCATGAATCGGAAGCTGCAGAGCGGGAATGACATGGTTCTGTATGATGAATTGCAGATGACTAGGATTTTGTACTTTTTGACGCTTTTTGACGCTGGTCCCCGCTGGCTGCCTATAACGTACTATCTGGGATTTTCTCCTTAGGGAACACTGGGTTGCACATGACACAGGGTATGTGGTGTAGCTACGACTATACATACAGGCTTCTGTCTCGGTTGTTTGAAGTATAGAACCCGATTTCGGATCACTACAGATACGGAAACGGCCAGGCACAGGGTAACTGCAGCTTGCCGCTCTTCATCATCCATGTCGCCACTTCATAGAGACCATCCTGGCAGCTCAAGCCGGGACAAATTTCGGGTGCAGTGTTATATTTTATAGGGTACAGGTGTGGGGCTGTTTCACATTCATAAAATACACTATGTCGATGGTGTGGCTTAAGACAAATATAGGAGTACTTAATTGGAATTCATCATACAGACATAGTGAGCCAGATCTGATCTGGCGACAGAAGAATCAGTACTTGGGGGATTTGCACTTGCAACAGTAGGTTGTGGCAACAAACCAGAATTTTGTACTTGGGGAATTTGTACTTGCAACCAAGTAGGTGGTAACAACAAACAATTTTGTACTTGGGGAATTTGTACTTGCAACCAAGTAGGTGGTAACAACAAACAATTTTGTACTTGGGAATTTGTACTTGCAACCAAGTAGGTGGTGGCAACAAACAATTTTGTACTTGGGAAGA